CTTCCTCAGTTTAGCCACAAGCTACAGGTATGTTATCTACTGCTATGTTTATATTTTCTGTTTGTTGTTGTTGATAAAATGAAATTATAAGCTAATCACCTTTCTTAATTATTTTTTAGACTTGTTGAAAGTTTAACCATGTTATGACATAGTTTTCTAGCACCGAAAAAGAAAAAAATAAAAACCTAGATGTGGCTTCTTTTGATCCTAAATCTAATTTTAAAATTTTTTATTTATATTGAGAATAAAATAGAAATGTTTGGTAACTAAGATAACAAGAGAAGTTGATTTTATTTTATTTTTTTTTTCTTGCGCAATTTACCGGACAGGGGGTTGGAACCTGCTACACGGTGTGAAACCCTCATGTTTCTGGTTTTTTTTTTTTTTTTCGTTTGCACTAGTCACGGGCCTCACGAAACTTTGCTCTTAATAAAAAATGGAGAAGTCCCACTTGAGCCTTCAACTTCCAAATTTAATTCTTGGATCCTCATCTTTCTAGTTCTTTGCATTTAAATCCTTTTCTTCTAATTCTCTCCATTTAACACCAAACCTTCAATCATCACAAAATTTGGACAACATGAATAAAATGAATAATTATAAAACTACTTATAAAAAAATATAACTCTTAAACTTATAATTCTACAAATATCAATAGTTAAGCACACTTTAAATATACATTCTCTTATGCTTTTATCAAATTTCAACTTGAAATTTCTCAAAGATTCCCTACTTTGGTGTATGATGTATGATCTTTGACACAAAATGAATGTTATATATATAAAAGAGAGCAAAAGATAGTCAAATTATTTGGTTTAGATCATAACCCAACATGAGGCAAAATATCAACCAAGTCAGTAGATATATGTAGGAGTACCAACTTTTGTTTACTTAAGCCTTTTTCTTTAGCAGAAGCAAACAGTAACTCAAGTACCTCACTTGGTGTCACATTTCAGGAATTTTCTTAATGGCGGACATTGCAATGCTAATTCTTGAGATCGTAAAGTGCATAGCAACTTCAACATGCCGTTGTGTAGATTATCATAGAAAATTCAAACAAGATGTGGAGGATCTCAAAAGCAAATTGAGAGACCTAAATAGCAAAAAGAAGGATGTAGAAACACAACTACAAGCAGAGGTTTGCTCGCAAAAACAAGTCAAGCAACAAGTGGAGGACTGGCTTCAAGATGCGCAGAGGATCAATGTTGAAATTCAACAGGTGGAGCAAAGGGTGGACAATGCTTCA